ATATATTTCAGATATAAATTTATAATGGATTGAGGCCTAGGACATTTAAAATATCTACTCGACATTGCCAGTATAGGGTGTTGCAAGTTTTACGCCGAAAAACCTAACTCCGGATAAATTATTTATGTTCTAGGACTTTATACCTTCAGCCATAACTAGGCTCTTGGGCTTCAATGATTTTAAAATTCTTTTCTTGAAAAGTGAAATAGTTTCTTACATTAACCAGAATGTTATTTTTTCTAAAGGAAATGATAATCCGAAATTTAGCTTTGAAACAAATTATGAAAACTAATGTATTCAGCATTCCAATGCGATGTTAATTTTTTGATAATTAACTTTAGTCTGGTAATAAATGTTTTGACTTTGGTAAAGTGATTTTCACTATATTGCTGCTAGTTTTCTAGCATAAGGATATTTCTAAATATAAGATAAAATAAATAATAGTGTTCTGATTGCATTAATTTGAATATACAGGCATTAGAAACTTACCAAAAATATTCCATAGTGCAATAATTTAGATTTATGAAAAGCAATTTCTTAATTGCAGTTTAGCATGAATTAAAATACTGAGATTGTTTTACACAACATAATCCTCCATGCATGATGTGACTTAATGTTTACTCCTTATACACTTCAAAGAAGAATTTTATTGTTTCAGTGTTCATATTTATAGAAAGGATTTGAATTTGATGATGTGTGATGTTTGCTTTATCTTTTTAACATTATCTTGTATATAGACAGTCGTGTTATGTTCTTAGCTGAAGCCTCATCATTGGGCGAAAGGTGAACTCAGCAAGCAGAAAACTGCAGTTTCATCTAGATTGTTGTACATCTTAGTTCCCAAGTTGTTGACTTTTTTAGGTATTCCCGGAATTCTGCATGCCTAAAATATTTAACTTATGCTTTATCCCCTGATGAAAATTTAAGAAATCAGTAAAGTTTGAAGTTAATATTAAGAACTGCTATTTGACAACAAAATAGTCTTCTCAAATTATCAATTAAAAACCTTTATTGTTCATATAAATGAGGCATAATGGAGATTCTAGTCAATATTTTCTGTTCTTCCAGCAGAATAAACTAACATTTTAATCAAAATTGCTTTTACATCTTCATTTGGAATTGGATTTAATATTTTTTATAAAATTTTAACGCATTAAAACTATTTACTAGCTTTATTTATTCGCTCTGTATATATATATATATTCATCTTTGATATCAAGTCAACACTTCGCCGACGTTTCGACATCCTTTCAACATAGAAGTTGTCTTTTAATATGAATAAACATTCTATAAATTCGTGTTTGAATCAACTGTCAGCAGAGGCTATTTTTCACCTATTTTTGAAGTTTGAAATTTTTAAATTTGAAAAATATAAAACGTTTTATTTGCATTAACACATATATTTTCAAAGAATAGAAACATAAACGTCTATATTTTAAGACCTGTTATCGTATACTCATTAAACTGCCCACAATGTCTAAAGTGTAATGGAATGTGAGTAAAGGTGAGGCCAGGTGAGTGAAGAAGAAATTCCATTCAACAAGAAACTGGTGTATAACAGCAAAATACTGCCAATACGAATGCTTATCCTTTTGTATCATTAAAAAAATTTCCAAATTTACTATTTCCTTAAATAATACACAAAAAAGAACGCAATATCTTCTGAAAGTTATGTATCTCACATGATATGAAAATAGTAAGTAGAAATGATTTTGCATCATAGGGCAACTAGACCGTTTTTCGAACCTTAAATAGAAACTATTGACACATTAAATTTTTGACATTATAAATGTTTCTGACAACACTAAACGGAATATTCTTTTCATAAAAATGGCTGATAATGATTATTTCATATAAGCTATGTTACAGTTCATTTTTGTATATTAAAAATCGAAACTTATAAGCAAATGATTGTTTAAATTTTCTTATAGATACTGCATGTTAAACGATAAATTAGAATTTAACAAAATCATATGCTTTTATCTACACTAAGTGTCTCGCTGGTGCGTAATTTAAATATTTAGTTAAATTATTAGAATGTTTCACTACGACGATGAAAGTATCTCTGAAAGGAGAAACAATTCATAAATACTGATTATAAATTAGCTTTGAGCCCTTATAATTCCTTGGTCCGTAAAACCCACTTGTGTGCACACAAAATATGCATCTCGAATAAAACATAACTTAAGTATTTCGTATAAAATAAAAGTGGTGGCTTGTAAAATATTTCTTGTTTTAAAGAAATAAAAAGTGATGTAAATCTTATAAACTAACATATATGACTTTTAATCATTAGCAAGCTTTTAAATTGAATATAGATAAGATTTAAACATTTTAATTAGTAGTAATTTTCTGTATAGTTATATTTATTTGAATGATGTACCGACTAAATCTGTAAAAAATAGTATATGAACGTAAAGTATGAAAAATAAGCAAATAAGTAAGTAAAACAGCAATTTAGAATTTTTACACTTTAAGATCTGCTTTCGCTCAAAACGAAAGCAATTAATTTACGATATTTATAAAGCGGCTTCAATAACTGGAAACATATAATTTCTAAAGATTGTGAGAAAAAACAAGCAATCAAAGTGAATGTGCCTGGATAAAGAATGTCAATCACATTATTGAAAATATACTATGAGTGTGAAAACCTTCAAGACACAATTTAGGATAGAATTTATATAAAAAAAATTGAAGCATAGAACTTTATTTCTATTTAGCCTTCGGCCTCCTTTCAGTTTAATTGTGTGTGTCTGGTTTCATTCAATAGAAATTCTAAATGCTTCCATAGAAGCTAACTACTACTAGTATGCTCCTTTGTTTCCTTGTTATGGTTCCTAAAACTTATAAAACACTATAAAAATTTTAATCAATAATGTAATCAGCTAATGCTTTCAGAAAAAAAAGGAAGAGGTCAAATTTGGTCTGTAAGAAGATGGTTAATAAAAGTTATATATTTCTTTGCAGTCAAAAGTTTGGCATTGTGAGTAAGCATTGTGAGAAAGAACTGCAAAATTTCGTTACGTAGTACAAAGTTTTCTGGCACAATGAATCCTTAACACAATGAATTTCTTAACGCAGTGAAATATTTTCAAACGTCAGATCTGTAGCTTTTTTGGAGAACATGGAGTCTACTACACTCCCTTTACTGTAAAGATTCCTTGTGAATTACTCACTGCCAATAACAAATATCATCAGCGATGTCTTTACAAGAAGTTTCTAGAAGCGAAATTTGTGCGACAGATGCGAATTTGTTTTTGTTTTTATAGATGGCTGTTTGTTTGCTTCTGTATTATGATTAAGAGATCAATTTCAGTAGTTAGTTAATGCTTCTTAAAAATATTTGGATTATTGGCTGCCATTTCATAACTTATTACGGTTTCCTTTCAGACCTCGAATCCATAACAGCAAATGTTGGCTTTATAAATTCAGATATAAGATTCCATTTAAATATCATTTCACAAGGAAACGTATGGATATTAAGCAAATCAGAAAGTAAAGCAGTAATTCAAACATTTTCTGATTTTAAGAATTGCTTTCATTCGTTAAGAAAGGGAGTTTATTTACAATATTTATAAAGAAATTACAATAACACGGAAATATATATTTAAATCAAAATGACTGCCGCCTAATAAAGAATTCCGTCATTTGCGTTATTTTAAATACTTCATGAGTTTCATAAAGAAATGGTGATCCTCTTTTTGTCTTTGTTATCACTTTTGCCGTTTGCTGCTTATGTTATTTACATTTAAGAGACAATGTCAATCTGAATTTAAGTAATTGATAAAATTAAATGTTTGTGTTAGTTTCTAATAGAAAGCCCCTATATATGTTTTAAGCGAAAAATGATACGGTCCCTTTCTCAGGAAACAAAATTGGTCTAAATTATTATACTCATTTTTCGGAATAACTTACTTCTGAAGATTGGAGATTATGCCAGTGGTCTTTTTAAATACATTGAATTTTTTTATTTGAAATTAACTAACAAGGTCGAACTTTGTTATAGTGTAGTGAAATAAGATTATTACTTATTTAAAATAAATTGATAAATAATAAACTCTTCTATTTAAACTTCGTCTTTTGTAAAATATTTAGTACAAGGCGCAATAACTGATTCTAGGTAAATTTATTTTTGGTTAAAGCAGATGTTTCAATTTAACCTCATCCTAGATCTTAAGTAATTTTTAATGATTTTACAGAACTCGTTTACTTAGAGCTTTGCATTTCGCGTAACGACAAATGTTGATCAGTAGATCATTTAAATGTGTAGAATGTTATTAAAAACATAGTACAAGCCAAACATTGTTGATCAATTAAAATTTTCATAACCCAAACCCCACGTCAAAAATTTGAATTGCATTATTCAGTCAAAAAAATTCGTAAAATATATTCCTTTTTTATTAAAAACTTACTTGCATGGAATTCTTCGTTTTGAGAATTTGATATGTTACTGTGCAGGACATAGCTATGAACCTGAGACAACACCGCCAACAGAACACAACTTGATGTAACCAGAAGTGACTTCATTGACCTCATGGCGGTGGCATCCAGTAGGCTATGTCTCCCAATTATTTCCAAACATTTTTATAACAGAAATCCAATGCGTCAATGATAAATAAATCATTAAAGATAACATTTTGCTTTTGTTTCAACAGGTTTAATGATATGTTATCAAGTATACTTCTATTTATCAAACGAAACGGATGTCCGTGAAGTGTTTATTGTCTTTTTAAAAAGCATACTTTTATGCTCAGATTCTAAAAATTACAGTTCATGCCTCTAATCCTGAAATTATAAATAAAAATACAAAAAGTAAAAATATTCTGAAAATATGCATAAAATGTACATAAAATAGTAGTTGCCGTTTTCTCTGTGCGTTCAATATATGTGTTTCTAGATGTAATCAACAATTTAAAAAATATATCAATGTAATAAATGCGTCCCGGTAAATATTTTATCTAAACATTTCTTCTTAATTTTTCATGGAAGACATGCGTTACCTTTATGGAAATTTGCAACTTCCTTCGGCTCGATTGGATTGTTACGATGTTCACAAAAGATGCGGTCAGTCATATTTCTTGAGCTGAAAAACAAAGAAATTAGTAAAGGGTTTTAATAAAGTATAAATTCAAGACTTATTTGTGTAACAATACTTTTAAAAGTCTCAAATGAGCTGAGTGTGAGAATTGGCATCTTAAAATACCTTGTATACCTAAACAGATTGATTAGTTGGTTAATTACTTGTAGCTAAGAGCGCGATTGTTGTTTGCCTAGGAAAAGGAATGTTATCGTGAAAGATATTCTTAACGCACGATGGCTTGTATTTGCATTGAGTATGGGGAAAGCAACGAAAAAATCTATGCAGCCCCATCATTTAGCTTTTGAGAGTAGAATCTAGGGTGAACGATCAGTATTCTTCCAAAATACATTTTGCGACAGATGGTCCTGAATGAAGAGATTAAACACAGAGGTGGTTTTAAGTATATGACGAGTCTGATGTGGTGACTATTCCAATAGTTTTTCTTATAAATATATTAACATGATTCTTTTTAATAGGCAACATAGAAGATTGTAACAGAAATTCTTAATAACGACAGGTACAGGAATGTAATTGATTTAAAAATTTAATTTAACGTTACATAAGTAAATTAGCACACGCTATTTATTCAAATTAATGTAATTTCCACAAAGAATTCCTAAACGAGAACGACCCGTGAGAAGAGGTTCCAGTCTTATACATATAATATGAAATTTAATATTGTTGTAGTGCCATCAAGTTATTTCGATGCTGGAACATGAAAAGTGTTCAATACCCTTGCCAGGATTTCAACTCCGGACTTCCAGTACTTCCAGTTACAGTCCGAAGGCATGCGGAAACGAGAGAGAAAATACCTTACATACTCCTCTTTTAAAGGGTGACTGTGTATGTGGGGACCTGGTCGCCAAATCCTGGTAGTAACGAATTATCATCCGCCCCCTTTTTATCCGCGGTACTCTCGCCATGATTCGAACGCCGGACCTCTCGTACAGCCTTCGAGTGTGCTTCCAGTTACACCACGAAGGCATGCGGAAATGAAGTGGAAAATATCTAATGCTGTAATTCTAGAATACGTAACTTATTAGGCCGCAAAAGCTTGCAAGAGTTTGGATAAGACGGTCCTCACACATAGTTTGATGTATTACTGGTTAATAACTCACAACATTAAGATAGGGTGTTTCAGAAAATGCTTATCCGAAAGATTTTATATGCAGGTGCTTTATGTATACACAAACCTGGTATACCTGGTATACAAAGGTGCGAATAATTCTTAGTGAACGCTTCATGATGTAAGACGGTAAGTAATTGATTGCCGTGTTTCGCCTCACTCAATAGGGCACTACACGTCCAGCAACTTTGCTTCCACCGTATTCGGCGGAAAGACAGGCCAAAAAAGCCACCACTTTCTGACACAGAGTTACATGTTAACTGCCACCAGTCCCACGCTTACCAACGACAGCATTAAAGGTTTCACTGTCTAACCCATCTCACCAGGCCCCTTGGGTTACCATTCCCGGTTCTCGTTCTCACGGAAGAGTATGGCTATAGTTTTTAAGCCTGATTCTCTAACTGGTCGTAGATAATATCCTCGCCAGTAATACGCGGGTGGTTCCGCACTAGAGGGTCTACAAAGAACACGGATCGAAAGGCTAACCGTGACCGGGTGCAGATTCCTTAGTTTAGCGATTTACAGCCAATCGCCCCTTGGTCCAACCACATTAAACGATCTTCCTTCGGGTTTTGAAACCCTCAGACTTGTGTTTTTGTTCCCCCAGCCCCAGAGGGCTGCTGCCATAGTAAAATACTAACTCTCTGTAAGTAAGACGGTAAAGAAATGAAGCATTCCTCTGTTGTAAACTTATATATAACTTATATATTATTGCTGCATATCGACTCGGCAATTCTGATTCGAGCCTGCACAGTTTATTTCTATGCAATATCTTATATCACAGTCAACTTCTCTACAAGTGACGCCAGAGCTAAAAATATTGAAAGGTGAATTCATTACCAAACCGATATGATTAACGGGGGGCATTTGATCTTCTTGCCTTTTGCTTCTAAAGGGGGAGGAACAAGTAAAAAACTATAACTCCCCACTTGTGTATGCTTATTATGTAATGATTAGGGAATTAGTGCAGAAATGCGTAAGTGTTGATCTCGAGTCTGGGAAGTACACGGTGTATTTTTTTAAAGATATATCGCTCAAAGGTAATCTTTTTACTACGGCAGAGTCATAAAAATATGATACTGTGTTAGTGAAACCGCAGTTACATATGCAGTTTAAGTCTCTATACATACATTTTGTCCACAAATGTTACTACCCTAGCTTTATTTTCGATACCGTTGGTTGGTATAAACTTTGACATATAAAAGTATTTTAAATGGCGCAGCTATTCATGTTCTGACATTTCTAAATTAAAAAAAATCAATTTTGTAAAAATTATTAAATCTAACATTTATGCGTTCCGTTGGTTTCTGTACACATATTTAAGAAAATATTATACTTATTATAAGAAACATAAACCTAAAAAGTGTGACTTTCTTACTACAAAATCAAAAGAGGTATTTAGTTTTAAAGTTGTGTATCATATTCAGGGACGCACACAAACTGAAGAGCGAAAAGTTTGCATTTGTATTTGAATAAAAATAAAATGCCAGTTTAGAAAATCATTTCTCAAGCTAATAGATTAAGTGATGTGCATTTCTATGAATACTGTAGTGAAACGTATTGATGAAAATTATTTTTTTTCATCAAAAGATCTTATTTACGTAATTTTATAAAACCTTTTTTCTCCAGGAAACACTGGCAGGCTTCACTATTGCCATATTTTCTTCTCGTAACCTTATTTGCAAAAATTAAAAATTAAAATTATTTTAGTTCAATGTTTTTTTTGTAAGGTTTTTAGATTAGGATTCTAAAGTAATAAAGCTGCATGAAATTCTTTTTTATCCACTGGCGTGCACTTGTCTATTCAGCATTGGCCACTCCTAAGACCAGAAGTGGTGACCATTTTATTGCGGAGGCACCTAATAGGCGTCCACGGGTGCCTTCTATGAAGGGACGAACACGTACAACCATGCCTTCTCCGGGATTCGAACCCAAGCCCTTCGGTAGCATAGTAGCCTCCCCTAACGACTTCAATATCTGGGCGGCACATGAAAACATTAATTACATATTTGTAGCGTTTGAAAACTTGCAAATTATTTGAGTGAAGATAATTTCGGCATACCTCTTGTAACAATATTATAAATTTAAGAACATTAGGCACTGGAAATCGCAAAGAAAATAATTCAATGCTAGTTGAAGAAAATAATCAGTCTCGAATTATTCTAGTTTATTTATTTGTTAATCGACCTCTCAAAGCAAGTTAAAAATGACGTCAAAAATTGCAGAGTTTGAAATTATATCTTTCTTTCAATTTTTGTTGCACGGGAGACAAATTTCTTTTGTGCTTTAATTTTTGTAATGACCATAACATTCTCTTAAATTTAAGTGTAGGCAACAGGGGAACGTATAAACAGTTAAATTTCGTATTTTGATTAATTTAAAAATTTAAAATTTGTGGATTGTAAACTGAGTTGACTGCTCCTTTTTATAATAAACCCACAAAACTAATCTAACTCTAATAATCTTTTAAAGATAGTATGTCGATATGTTTCGTATTCGAAATGTCAGATAATGCTGGATCTCGAATAATGCTGTACCTTTCGGATAATGCTGAAGACAAAAGTCCCTCGGTTAAGCAGTCTAGAAGAAATTGCCCGAAGCTGATTGTTGGTTTCAGTAGCATAGATGCAGAGCGGAAAGGATATCTTAGATTCAAATACATAGAAACGTGAGTCTTTATGAATGTGTATGCTATTCATATTCTACAAACATTTATATAATGATAATATAAAGAGAGATTTATATCATTAAAAATCCAGTGAAAAAAAAACCTGCCATGCTTGTTGCAAAATGTGCGTACTATTTTAGAAATTAGAAATATTTAATCAAATAACTTAATGCCTGCCTTCGATATTTTAGTTATATTCATACGCGAAATTGTTATATACTCGACATATAGTTTGGACGTCATGTATGGTAAATAATTCAGGGTGTTTAAAAGATGAGCTGAACCACTTCAAGGTAACATTTTTGATTTCTCCTAAATCTTTCTTTATTGTCGTAACATAATGGTAAGTGTTACCACGGATTATATTAATACAATTAAAATTGAAAGTAAAAAAATAAAATTAGTAAATATCTAGAAAAGTACAGTTCTTTTTTTATTCTTGAAATAGAGCAAAATATTAATTCATTTGCATGCATTATATGTGTATGTATTCTCTTGCATTACTCATTAAATATGGGAAAATGCATTTGAAGGTATTGCAGCATTAAAACCTACTGCATAAAACACACAAACTGCAGTATCAAGGACATACATATAACATACATATAATAATTTTTAAAATAAGTGATTTTTTGTAAATACATCATTAAGAATCAAACATAACACTAACAGAAAATGAACAGAATTATGAATCAATAAGAAAAGGAATTAATCCGTGTAAAATTAATCTAAAATGAATAATAAAATTAACAAATCATAAGAAAATTTAAAAAGTTGCAATAAATAAGATAAAAAGCAATAATAATTCTGCATTACATGACTAAAAAAGACTGATTCAGTCAACCTCTTTCTCAAGAGGATAGACGTAACTGAATAAATCTTGTCAGCCATTTTTCTGACTTGCCATCAAACATTGATAGAGATATTAGCTTGATACAAATAATACATAATTAAATATAAACAGCATTTGTTTTCTCGCCAGTTTTAAATTATATACAAAGTTTTTAAAAATGTTAGAAAGGAATGAATCATAGGGTAATATATTTCTTAAATTTTGTTATTTGGATTGTACGATAAAATATATATATAATTATTATTGATGCTTATTTCTAAAGTGAATAATTATGCAGATACTTCTATAATTTATTATTTAAATTTTGTTTGAGGAATTTAAAAGTTTCGTAATAAATATTAATTAGCCAATAATTT